GCGCCGTAATGAGTTGCACTTGATCAGTTTTCTACACTAGCCGATCGTGCTCAAAGTGGGAGATTAATCGGAGGATATTTTGCCCTTTTTATTTATCGTGAAAACATTTAATGTGTAGGAATGTAAACAAGCTCTCACCTTGATAAGTGAGCGTTCGACTAAACCCAGGTGGGCTGCAGACAGACTGGCGTCGTCGCGTTTGCATAGTCACCGGAGTGTAAACAAAGTTCTACTGTGAACCATGGGCGCATATCTCAGGTGTGGGGGAGAGCCACCCGTACAAAACACTCATCATCCCACAGACGTATTACTGATTGCACGCTATGATTAGATTTGAAAAGCAAGGTAACAAAAAGATTTAGCGATACCTCTTTGTCCAGTTTCGATATACTGCGATTTAGGACCTGTTAAGTCTGCATTAAAGCCAAGTCGCAGACATAGTGTCGCCTGGACCACAAATTAGGTGGTGCGTTTCACACCTGAAGGTTGCGCTGCAATTTACCTTTCCACGTGAATACAAAAGTCGAATCAACACGAGGTGTTCATGCAACCGAAGAAGAAATAGAAAACAAACAAACATCCACGTAGATATATAACAATACAAGAGAAAGGCGGGCCCAGCTGGGAAAACTATACAGTCCCCACGCACCTTGATCCGTAAACCTCCCCGACACTAAGGGCACCAATGTCAGGGGCGTCTTTAAGAATGTATTGCCTTCAGTTGTGTAATGGAATGCATGGGGACGAATACTGGAAAAAAGTTGAAAAGTTCAAGTCCTTATTGCACTCCTTTTAACCCATTCTTTTCCGTTGGCTTCGTGTGGAAGGCAACTATTGAACTGCACACCTGTTGGAATATAATACTCACTGTACCAAATATACATAGAATCAATGCCAGTGTGGAAAGTTAGGTAATAATAGTATAAATCACCCACTGCTTGCGAGAGGCTGCCCCATGATGAACCCGATGCTATTTTAAAACAGCCACGATTTATAGTTTACGCAACACCAGTTTTCTAAACATATATGGTTACCTGGCTTTTAAATAAGATTCTACGCAACGCATTAAGAGAAAATGCGTGTTGGTATAATCTAACTCAAATGTTATCATGATTATAATGATAAAATGTTAGTTAAACAAGTTGATTAAATCAAAATTTGAGCCAAAGAAAAAAAGATAAAAAAGCGGTTAACTTTTAATTATTATATAAATTTTAAGTTGAAATATAATCACTTAAATTTTATAAATTATAATATAATGAAAACAAATTCTGAAGATGGCCAATTGATAACCAATTGAAATGAATAAAAAAGAATATTAATAAGAATGAAAAGCACCTTACAAAGAAAACCTTTTTAATGTTTATTACGTTGCGTGAGAGCGGATAAAACGAGAAGAATCACTTGAAGAATTTTCACAGTTGTCGCAAGAAGCAAAATATATTTATTTTAGATATTTTACATGATATAAATCAGTTTAGATTATACATTTGTTTGTTTGAAAGTCTTTTTTTTTCTTTTAATTATGATTTTATAATAAATATGAACATATTGAACAAGTTTGTAGAAGTCAGTCATCAAACTGATAGTGTGGCAAATGTAAGCCGAGTTGAGAAGTTATGATGTTGTAATACTAACATTTTGTGAAAAAGCACTCTACGTTGCAAACACACAGGTTGACTATTATCAAATTATGAATCAAATTGAAGTCTTATTCAGTTGGAAAGCAACGTTTCGTTGCTCTGAGACTCGATGAAAATTACCCGCGAAATAGATATTGTCAGAATTATTGATGGCCGTTTTCTTTACGAGTGTCATATTTTAGCGCAAGCCTTTTAATGCCTACAATAATAGACTGTTTTTATTATGAAATCTTCGCAACGATTAAGAAAATTTATCATTATTTTCGGGGGAAATTCTACATGTTATGGGGTTTCTGACACCACGCTGTCCCCATCTCAAAGCTTTCAAACATCACACCATGCACTGGATACTGATTTATGAATCGTTGAACATATCTTGGAGGTATGCTGGCAATCTAGAAAAAGCGTCAGCTGTTGCTTTAGGTAAGAGCCTACGTTCAAAATTAAAAAAAAAATGTAGGCCTGTACTTTTTACAGACGGTTAAGCTTAACTGAGAGAACCGTTCGACTTCATTGCTGAACATTTGCCTACTTGATGGTTGCAATCTATTTCAATTCTTAGTATGACAAATGAAATCTAGTATCATGTAATGCCCTACACCATTTAGCGTAAAATTCCATGGATAGACTTTTAACAATCAAAATGTACATTATATTGAATAACAATGGCAATCAAGACGTTACGACATTAAAGAGGATCATTTGACGGGTCCTCATTGTAGTTTTTTTTTAGTTTTTTCTAATTTGGCTGTATAACAGATTCGCTGAAACAAACTTCACGATAACAACAGAGTGCCAATGTACGCTTTGGTGTAATTTTTGCAATGAAGCATTTAAAGAGAGGTTGCTTGTTATTGACAACGGTTTTTGCTGACAGACAGAATCAGAGGGAATCTGATTTTAAAAAAGAAATCAAAATGTGTTTTTGCACAATATTTGTTTGATCAATAAAATTCCGACGGTCAGAAGTTTCACCCAAATCCTCGATAATGAACTGCTTAAGGAACTACCCCTTTGTCTGCCACCTTCCAGTGAATGAAGAGGTAAACAAGCGTGGTAATATGTAGTCGTTTGAACAGCTGCCGGCTTGTGACGTAGCGCGTCTCTGATTGGCTACTGTCGGTTATCAGTGACATTGGCACGCGACTGCATTTACTCAGGTAATGGCGGCTTTATCGATAACAAAAGAAAATGTCACTAAGTCCCTCCTCCCTATGGAAATATAATACAAATGGCACGCGCCATACTCTTTCTGCACACTCAGCCACGCGACCACAAACTAGTAAGTTCTCCTACAAATTTCTTTAGATATTTTTTACAAAAATGAAAGAAGTGAAATTTTTGGAAGACTTTTACAGACGACAGACTGTCCAGATGCCGGAATCGTGGGTCTGGCAGCTGGATTTTTTGCCAGCCCGTATTCCGAGTGTGGGAAAGTTGAAGCAGATGCATTCTCATGAGGTAAGCTCTTTGTTTAGCAGCAGATGGGACAGATGGCCCAAGCCATACTGGACAACTACCTGGATCTCACCTGGAACTTCTTCCATGGGAAAATTCAACTTTAAACTAAGATAAACAAATTGCTATTTATTATTATTGTTGTTTCCTAAGAATCAGTGGAACAACTCTCCATCTGGTGTAATTTGTGTGATAGATATAGCTGAATAATTAACCCATTTATATTACTACTTATTAATTTAACGTTATAATTCACAAGTTCCAATAAAATTGATATATCAGGGGCGCTGATGTTCATCCCATAAAAAATCTAACAATTTTTTTTGCAGGATGATTTAGTGAAGCATTATTATCATTTGTTTAAAAAAAGGAGTGGGAGCACTTTAAAACGAGAAAATTAAGGGCGACATCTTATAAAAATCTGTTTGATTGTGCTTATTGTCATTAAAACAGAAGTGGTAAGAGGATAATGATTTAGAACTAAAACTAAATGTGCAATTCCTATGGCACTTTGACACTTTTTACAATTCAAAATAAATATTTTTTCTGGATGCAGTTAATATATATATGTGTGTGTGTGTGTGTGTGTGTGTGAGTGTGTGTGTGACAAAAAGAAATAAAAACAGCACAACTGCTGTTTTTTATTTCTTTTTGACACACACACACACACACACACACAGAAATAAAAAAAACAGCAGTTGTGATGTTTTTATTTCTTTTTGTCATATATATATATATATATATATATATATATATATATATATATATATATATATATATATATATATATACTCGTACAGGAAAAACACTTACTTTCAATATATATAATTATTATTTTATTTAAATTAATAGTAAATCAAAGAAACCAAGCCGTGCCTTGATATGCACTGGTATGTGTATGTGTGCCTAAAGTTCAGATCTCCATTTTTTACAATTATTCATATGATGGAAGGGATCGCTTTTTTTTTTTTTTACTTGAAGTGTTTTTATTTTCACATATTTATTTTAAAAAACTATTTTAATCTAGATTTTAGACATCCCACTATTATATCAACATCTGTTTTCTGTTGTTTTATTGTTCGATAGAACGTGTATTTAATTCTCTCTTAATTTAGCGCTTTACTCTTTACAGGTGCGACGATACCACCTGCGAGGCGATTCGGGAGTAAGAGGAAACTCGTGACATCTTTATGTAGGCTTCAATAACTTCAACAATAATATTACGCCTAAATGTGCGGTGAGAGCATTGAGATAGAGTGGAGTTATTTAGTAGATGGCCAAGTTTGGGTATTTATTTTTCCTAAATCCTTGTGCGGGCCTGGCGCCGAAGTAAATTCAACCAAACAACAGTAAAATACACATGAATTTATGCAAATGTGCAGGTGTTCAGAGTGTGAAAGATCTACAGGCCGAAGGTGACGAATTGTAATGCAATTTATCAGTCACCGGTGAGCGGAGGCTTTGATGTACACCTTGATTGGCAGTGTTGTTACTATAGCGACCGCCGGCCCGGCGCCGAGTCGATGGCTGTATACACAGTATGAATGGGTGACGTCACACGGCTGGCGCCACACTGCCGGGGGCAGCTGTTGTTGATTGTTGCTTGTTCTCGCCAATTTATCACTTGTCAAACCTGATCGGGTGTCATGTGAAAAATATATACACAAGAGCTATGGGAATTTAAATTATTCAGCAAACTAAAGGACTCTTGACCACTACTTCACAGTGAAATCTCCTTTTTCATCATATCTATATTTTAAGACCACGTGCGAGCTCAAGTAGCGTTCTATTATGGTGGGAAAGTAATCAAGTCACCCCAGTTGGCGGTGGGAATCGGCCTAAAGGGGGTGGAGCTTATCACAATAGGTATGAAGAATCCTTGATGTTGATTGGTGGGAAGGATTCATCCCTGCCAATCAAGTGCCTTCAAGTGCTCAAATTGTTTGTACATAATTAATCGCGAGGCGGTGCTCAGCAGGATATATAATGAGAGTATATTCAGCCTGGAAATACACTTCACATCATTCCTTAGCTCGATCGAAACGAGAGAGGACACGAAAGATACCTTAACTTGTATCAGCATTTTTATCTATTTTAGTCAACGGATATTTACATTTAATATCAATATGAAGGCTCAGATGAAGGAAACCATCGCTGCAGAACACCCAGCCCTGAACACATTGAAGGCAAAAATTACTAAGGAGAAAAATAACGATGCCGCTGCGGAAATTCAAGCCTGCTTCGCGAAGTTGAAGGATTTAGTACCAACAGTCCCACAGAATAAGAAAGTGTCAAAGGTGGCGTTGATTCAACACGTTATTGACTATATTATGGACTTGGAGTCCGCGCTGGACTATCACCCAATGATGAATTTGGCAACTTTATCGTCATTGACCTCTGGTCTCTCCAGACCCCCTCTAATAGAGAGCTCACAGCTCAACAAACAGGTGGGTGTTAACTAAATTGTCATGTTGTTTCTATAATTATGTTTGCAATTTAATGATAAAATATTTACAACTTTTAAACACATATTACGACAAACAGTCATATCTACAAGATGGAAATGGAAAGGGGAAGTATTAACGAGCACTGAATATGGCCTTCAAGACGGGTGTTTTTGAGATGTAGTGATGCATTGAAATATTTTGACACATTGGTGTGTCAGGCAACCATATGTCATGCTACTGTACAATTGCAGTCGGCAATTGATGTATTGAAACAATACCATTGCTGATATTTCTCTTAAATATTTTACGAGGAACTGATTAAAGCATTGACTGCACCTGGGAAATATTGCAAATGGAAAGTTATTATTAATATTGTTATCCGCAAGCTATTGTCCTTCCGCTATGCAGGTGCAGTTGCATGAGAAATGATTGGCCTGTATCCAAAGAGCGTGATATTTGATATATTTCACGAGGACAGCTGCCTCTTGACACTCAATCACATGATATGCGTAATATCGTACGAAGCTATACCAAATAAAATGCATTTCATATCTGATGTCCCGTGGGTCCATATATCATTCAAAAGAAGAACATTTCTGATGCCCTTTTGTTATCTTTTTTCTAGGAATCTAGCTACACTGAAGAAATGGAAGCTTCTGATGCTGATAGCTGTGAATCTCGGCCCCCGTCTTGCTGACTCTACACGATCAAGATCAAGAATCGTTTAACTTACTGGTAGGTTTATATTCAAACATCCTCTGCAATCTCCTTCTTTATTCCACTGTCTGCTAATCAATATAGTGCTCTGTCGACCTTAGATGCAGTGAAAACAGACATTTCTCCTGAAAATCAATATTGTAATTGGGATTTGGGAAGGATTTTGCTTTACTTGCGAGCCAACATTTTCTCAACAGAAATATACGAGGAAATTAACATTACTACCAACTGCACCTGGCCTAAAAAGCTTCTCTGTTAGGTTAATCATGTCTGTTTAATTGCTTGATGCTTGTTTGGGAGTCGCTGATCGTGAGAAATCTCCGATGGGCACATGCAGCAGGGCCCAGAGCATTTTTGCACGGGTTGCCATACCCACCTGCGCATCTGGCTATTGTCAAAGCTACCTCCTGGCATTTATGATCGTACAAACTTTGACAGGCTGGCATGGTGAGAAGCCAAAACATCAAAACCTTCAGGGCCCCATTTCATAAAAATGCCAGTAGATGTGCAGCTGCGGAAGATTCGATTCCCAAAACAAATTGAGTCGATATTTTATAAATGCACTTAGTTTCCGTGCGGAGTCGCATCTGTGGGTAGAGTGGATAGACAGGCGGGCACCAGCGTGTTTTTATAGACCCATCATTTGTTTTTCTTTAACAATTTACCCAGATGTTTTCTGTTCAGACGGATGTTTTACTGTGCGTTACTTTCAAGTTCACGTGAAGTGATACTTTGACTTAAGATGCTATCACGTATTAGCTAAATTTTCTCTTTCTGTTCTTTCCAGATAAAACCACCCAATTTAGTGTCTCCGTGAAGATACAAACACACTATCGCGCTGGCAGCTGCTGACTGATACTGACACCTGGCGACAGCGGTGATGGTCTTTTTTGGGCTCCCAATCAGCAAAATGATACGCAACGCCATGGGACATGGCAGACAAACCAACTAAACATAGGTGCCAGGACCAAAGAACAATGAGACAAAATAAATTTCCGTCTCCCCGCACGACGCCAGTGTTTTTGACGATCATGAATCAAATGGTGCTAAAGCTGTGTACAGCACCTGACACCCAGAGCCCGGCTATGGAGAGTAGCGTGTGGCGCCAAGGTGCTCGACAGCAAACATTACAACTCAGGGATTTAATCATCACGGGACAACGCACGAGAGAAACCTCCAACCACCTTGTGTCAAAGCAAGGGTTTGAAAGGAAAACTGAAAACGTGACTAACTTTTGATATCTTTTTGTTGTATGCACGTGAAGTTGGACGTTGAGTCCCGTTTTGTAGATTTTTATTTTCTTTCGACATCTTGTAAAAATCACCCATGTACTTTAAGTAATAATTTGGGGCTATAGCTAGATATATGTGACCGGCTCACATAGTGTATTGTAACATTCGGTCGTTGTCTATTGATTTGACGGCTTCATCCTCATCCCATTATCATGACACGGTGACAGCTTGAATGTAATCGACATGAAGCCATTTCTCATTAATTGTTCCACGAAATCGATCCTCGATGGTCGTATATAACCACAGCAAACATCTGTTATGTGGTAAACCTGCTTTTACATTGGGTTATACTAATTAATTGATAAGCTATTAGTTTATTCTTTCCAAGTAGACCATATGGTTCCAGCTGATTAGTGCGTTCAGTTGATTAATTTAGACGTCATTACACATCCTATTAAACGGCGTTCACCCAAGTCATAACGAGAATATTTTTCAGTTTATCAAACAGTTCATTTCTCTTCATTTTCGCATCATTTTACGCATTTTATGCCATGACTTATTCAGAATGAGTCTTAACACTGATGTACAATTAAGTTTTTTTTAAGTTTTAAATTTTGTACAATTTTGAGATCCCCTAAGGGGTTGCTAGTCCGACTGTACACGTAACTTCGCACAGATGTGCTGGTATTGGACTGTGCCGAAATCAAATATGATTTTTTTCTTGATGATGTCAATAGAATAAGTCTATAAAAATAAAAAATAATGAATCATATGCACGTTGTTTCTCTTTCCTGTTTTTTCCATCGTCATCCTGTACTGGGATATGAAGTTGACAGCAACACACGAGTTAGGAAGTGTGGTTGAAATGGCGGGCTGCTGATATGGAAGTTTAATATCCTCTTGTCTGCTATCAAACATTGCGAATAGCTTCTCAAGGATATTGCACATTTGTCAACGTGCACACCATTTTTTGTGTGAAGAAAGAGTTCGATTATGATCAGATCAAAAGTGGCTAAAATGAAATCAATATATTACAAACTTGTCTATAAGGAAAACATATAATGACCAACTTCAGATGAACGTAAGAGTGGCTCCAGCACTCAACGGGTATTATTAATGTAACACTAGCACAGTTATGAATTTGCGGAAATATTCAAGCTCACATCTCATGATATTATGGTTCTTCAATATCTGCACTTAAGACAAAGACCTAATCATTTCACTGATGAAGCCTATGTGTTTAAGACCCACGTGACACTAATGAGTCCCCATATTACAGTAGGAACTGAAGGTTACACAGTAATCAAGAGTATCATCGAGTACAATTCTAACATTAGTATCCATGTGAAATTTATGCTGAGGATACTCTGAATTATGTATGTTATTTCTTCTGGCGACGGTGCCGATGTTATCAGAGCTCCTTTGACCTGTGGTCAGGTGGTGAGAGGGGAAAAAGGGCCCCACCACCACACCTGTCTTCTCAATCAGAGCAGGCTCACTGGCGCACAGGTGCGTTCCAGTGGTTTTAACAGGCTTCCTACCTAAGATTGCGATCTTAATTGTTGTTGTAAAGACAGGTCATCTTTGAGGTGAATAAGGTCATCTATTAGCGATAAGGCGTCTCATGTCACCGAGGACCATTGTTGTATGTTAAAATAGCTGTTCTTTGCACAAACTGCCAAGCAGTGCCGATATCTTGAAGAATGCCGAATGTTTTAATGGATCTTTATGTCATGTTAAAACCAATCCACCTTTTATGAGATTGAGCTTGGCGCTTTATCTTTCACGAATTGTTAGCATGCGTTGTCTGAAAATATCTTATATAGATAATTTATTTCCAAATTCGATAAAAGAGCATTTCGTGTATATTGGCTATTACAATTGGGGTCGAGTCCCGTACGTCATCTGCATTTGTTGGTGGTAGGCTTATAAAACCTGTTACGTTAAAATACCTCCAAAACTACAGACTGTTTTACGTTCTATTTGGTTTTATAAAAAAGAAGAGGATATACCATCAAGGCTCTCGAGGAATTTTCGCCTCGTACACCATGTTTAATGAAAAGCGCCCTGCTTAAAATATTTATATTGTCAATTTTCATAAGTACTTTTTCAATCATGAAAAAGTATGCGATTTGACCGACGTTGATTGTTAATCGAATGTCTGTTGTTGCAAGTAAAATATCCTGTTTCCCACCGACATGACCGTCAGCTGGTGGGTTTCCCAAGTGATCTTCACGTTGTCCTCGGTCCCATGAGAAACAGTTGGGGCATATGCTATATCATATTATATTGACTGAGAAAATCAATACAGTAACCGGTTAAAGTCAACAGAAGAGTCAGAAGCAGTCTCGGTAATCTTACTGTATAAATATGACCAAGTAATCTTGTCATCGGGCTAACTGAGAAAACAAATTATGAACATTTTCACCTTCAAATATAGTATATGGGGAAACGTTTGTGAACGTTTTTATTATCTAAAACCTCATTCAAAACTGTATTCATGAAAATGATAACAACCAACAAGTCAACCTCTCACCATGTACCTTTTTTTTTTTTTTTTTTTTACAAAAAAGGCACTTAATAATATACAAGCTCTCTCACTCCCTTGCTATGCCTCTCTGTCTCTCTCTCTCTCTGGTTTTCGATTAACATGCATTCAAGGTGGGCCACGCCGCTAAAGCCGACAGGTGCAGCGCGGCAAAGGGAACACAAAAACCTGAAAAGATACAAACATGGCTGTGAATAGAAATCTAACAACCACCAGGGGCAAAAGGTACGCACAACATTGTTCAGTAGTGTTAACCGTAATATTGATTGACTACAGGCCGTTTTCTTCACTTTTCTGTGTCGATGAAAGCGACGAATTAAATATGTAAATAACCGTGTTTCACTTTTCACAAGATCACGCACAGTGGGCGAATGGTCCTCTGATCTTTTCACCCGACATTCACCTTCGCTGTGTTGTTCCCTTGTCAATCTTTTGGCAAATTTCTCGCCTCTTTTTCCGTGAAATGTACAAAAAATAATCTTATGTTGTGCTGCTGTGTGAAAATAATTCTAAAAATTGCACCTCTAAAATTTCCCCTAAGATATACACAAAATATATAATATTCGGAATTTGTTAAATACCTTAACAGTGAGTTTCAAGAAATGAATTTTTTTTGTCTATCGTTATTGATGCAATGCGATACAAGAAAATGTAACAAAACCCACTTGCTATCATCAAATGTCTAAAATCACGACACGGTCGCAACATCACATGACGAGACCCCTCTGGTGCAAAGTATAAAAGAAAGAAGTAAGTTGAATTGCATGAATAGAAACAAGGTTATATATCAAATTTCCCGACCAATTAAGTGCTATTATCAATTTTGCTTAGCAGAAATTGTTTATTTTTTATCACATGTTATGGAAATATTGACGCATGATTCCCCCTATAAACCTGTGTAATTGAGCATATCCTGAATATTTTCCCAAGCATTAGTTGTGACAGTGTTGTCATTGCTAACCCAGTCGAGACAGCAGATATAATTTTGATACAATTGCACACCTGCAAAATTTTGATATCAATTACGACCGACGTCTCATTATTTGACCCCGCGTGGCATTTGGAGAAGGCGCAACCGTCTTGTGTCCTTTTTACCAGCTCTTCGCTGGTGACAGCAACTGGCACCTGCATGTATTGTGTGTTTTTTCCTTGCATTTTAGAATGGTTAAATTCTATTCGAGCAATAGTTTATGGTATTTCGGGCTTCTCTGTTAAATAACCAATGCATTTTCACAGTAAAAGTAGCTAACGGTAGTGACCCCCCCATACACATATGCGAATTATCCTAACCCCCCACATTAAAGGATTGTTCATTTTTGGGGTGTTTTGCTCACAGGTGTATAATAGGAAATTAGTCTCTTAACATCAACAGCTGGTGATATAAATTAAACTTCATTAAAAAATCGAAAGATGCGTCCTTCAAATGCCTCCTATTCAAATGTTCAAGTAGTGGGGGCTTATGCACGCATTTAACACGTCACAATTTTTTTAGTGTGACAGGGAAAGTAACCCTTTTGCACTTCAGCAGCTCGGGATATTCTGTAAGCGGCATATACAAAATTCTTGAAACTACTATGTGAAACTGCGACAAATACATCAGAGGTCAAGATAAAGCCAGAATGTCGCATAATGACCTGTCGAAACTTTCCCTGTGCCGAAATGTTAGGAAATTTAATCGTTATGTTACACATTTCCTGCAGGTGGGCAAACGAACGTGCTATTTCTTTACTAAGTCTAAGTTTCGTTCGTAAGTAATTAAAAGCCGATCAAAGGATCGAATAACTTCTTACCCTACAAGAAGATTCAGTTTCTGCGTTAATGGCCAGGTGTATAAATAACGCGGTCTTAATTGTTGACTTACTTACACACAAAGTGAATGGGCACTAGAAAACACTTTCAAGTTCGCAGATTATGCCGTCCGGCACGAAGAAATGTCAACTGAAAGAAGACACGTTGTATCACCTGACAAAGTAGCTGTTTTACCTCCCACCCTCTGAGCTGGAGGACATGATGAATCAAGTCGTATGTCAGAGCGATGGATGTAGATAAAACAAAAGCGGTGCAATAAATTTACAGGAAATCCCCTTTCAATCTACGCAACTGTGTTAGGTCACGTACTAGAGGGCTGGGAAAGGAAACGGGTAGAGAAATATATATTTCATTCAGGAAACAGAACCGCCCACCTGTATACCTAAATATCCCAACTCGTTACGAGTCATTTTAAAAGTAAAAGCTCTGTCACATATTGGAATCTTAAAATATAATTATCTGTTTACTTATTCCACCAAATTTAAGAGTTCTGAACACGGAGCTGTAATAAATACTATTTCCACACAAACTGGTGGGCAGTTCTCCGCTCATCGTGTCAATGATCAAGTACATTAATCTTATTTGATGTATTTAGAAGTCAATGTCTGGTCTAAAATGGACTCTTGCATATATACAGTATGTTTTTGCAGAATTCTACATAAAAGCCATCGTTGGATGGATAACAAAGTGGATGTTTTCACCATTACAGAGAATGTTCACCAAGTCACTATTTGCCCTCACCGCCCCCCATCCCCGCCTACATACACGGCTACTTCTGTGCAAATATATGATAAGTGATGAACTGAGGAAAACATATAGTCTACTTTGACCTAATATTCAGTAAACAGAGACGTATGCCAGGACTTTGACATGGACAGGTGTGTTTGTGTAATATACAGAGTAGGATGCCACATTTTGCCACAAACAACAACAACACATCTTGTAAACATGCCATGTTAGTGCTATATACCTAAGTGATTGAAGATTACTAAAGGTCGGTTGACCAGTGTCAGGAATATACCTTACGGTATTGTTTAGGATATTCTGATGTCTACGAAACCAAGGCGCGACCCTTTTTCATCCAAACCGAACGGAACCTTTACAATTTTGTTGTCACGCAAGAGAAATGAGAAATGATGGCCTAGAATTTCTCCAACTTATGTCAGCAAACATGTGTCATAAAGCATTGGTCATGCTTGTCCGCTTCCTTTCTTACCCGTACACAATCTAAATACAAAACGATTAATCTTTTCTGTCATTTTCAGTGTCAGTCATATCTGTCATCTCTTATGCATTACGACGACAGAGGCCTCTTTAAACATATTAATAAGCAATTTTAAAGTGTTTTACACGAGCCTAGCACGATAACAGGGGAAATCATTTGTTTGCGTTTCCGAACTTTGCAGAAAATACCACAAATCCAACCGTTATACATAAAGATACATGTAATTGGTACGAAAAAAAGCACGCTTGCTTACAATATTTCTATTTTTCAAATACCCAGTTGTTTGGGGACTCTGCTCATGTTAGGCGACAGTTATTTATTTCGTAATACCATTCTTTTAAGTTTAATATTTTAAGTTTTCGATTAAAATCCCCAGGACGGCATTCGAGTAGAAACAAAAATTTATGATAGATTTCCTAACTCAAAGAATAAAAATATTCGTAGGTTCCAAAGTAAATAAAATAATATTATAAATATTGAAAAAAAATCTTGCAAATACGAAATTGTGCCGGAAAGGGTTTTTTTACATGATTAAGAGACAAGGACCGTAGGCCTAATGTGATGATAGCATTGTCTGTATAAAGAATCTATGACTATGATGATCGAAAAAATTTTACTAAAAAAACTAAATTTTAAGCGTTGTATGATATTTCCCCTCTGTCATAAAGCAAGTGTTCAAGTGATCTTAAGACCTTTAGAAGTACCGAAACATTGGCATGTTAGTTTTGGTTCATTTCCAATGAAACTATTGTTCTACGTAGATTGATCTAACTCCAACTCGGATTAAAAGATAAACACGCCTCCTCCTGGCGTTGAGTAGAAGATACAGATAAGCTGGTGATAAGCTGGTGATTATACGGGCACGTTAGAAACAAGAGAAGCCGTGTTGATCTGTAAATCTGATTACATTCAGCGAGAATCCACGCGGAATATGATCGATCTAAGTAGAACGATAGTTTCATTGGGAATGGGCCCCTAGACGGTATTCTAAGCCATAGTAACATTAACTTTTATGTGATATTTCCAATCCCAAAGTCAGCACAAATCTTTTATGAGATAATTGTAAATGATTAATGTTTTTTTTTGTTTAATTGTTTTTGGTTTTACATAATTAATAACTAACATTTATTTTCAAAAACTTTATCTTTTATATTTCATTTGAGTTGTTTACTGAGTGGTTAAGTAGAATGACACAACCAAAGTATTCAATAAGAAGGCAAAATCGAAAACGCACACCAGTTTATTAATGCATGTACTTCATTAATGAAAGAGAAAGTCTCATTTTCTTACTAGTCCAGATAGAATTATTGATAGAGTTCAGATTTGCCGTCTGCCGGACACAATGTCGGTAATATAAATCAAGTCCATCAGTAAACTTAATTTGAAATGTTATGTGAATACAATAAAATGAAATATACTTTGTGAAGGGCAACTGTAAATAAACGTTCAGTTCATGTAGATTCGCATAGTGTTCAACCGCTGGTAATACAAATCATAATGAAAATGTATGCACCTCGACTATATTACTTAAGGCCTTTTATACACACACACACACATATATATATAAAGAAAATCTGATTATAGATATGAGGTTTAGTAATAACAGAATATTTGTAATTCATAAAATGGGTTTCTTTAACGGTTGGAGATGTAATCTGTTACAGCTAATAACTCAAATCAATTAAATGATTGTGTGTCAGCTTGAGCAGGGCAAAGCCGCATATTGAAGACCGCATCTGCGCAGGTGTGTGCAGGTGTACGAACGTCACACACGTGCAGTCTGTGCGCGGCACACGTTGTCTTAATTACTCCTGGGGCGAATGCCTCATATTCTCTCTCTCATTTCTCCCACCTCCTAACAGCCATTTCCTCTTAGAGGTTATTTCATTAATATTTACATACGACAGTGCCTGACCTATTAAAATTTAAATTCTCGGCTTTGTTATTACTTAATAGTAAGGCCATATATTGAGAGACAGAAAATACAGCAACGACAAGTACAAGAACGTTCTCTCGTCGTTTCATTATAACTAAAAAGATTTTTCAAAACGAAAAAAATTACGAGTAAGGCCTACAAGCCTGACCAGCTTGCCCATTGTTTGAATATTCTTGTTTTCTGAATGAACATTCGCTTTTATCTAAGTGCATTCTGTGAACTACGATAGTTGGAACTCCCAAGAAAATGACAGAGTCAATTTTCCTCACCTGAGCAAAAGATATCGATTTATTCATCATTCCTGGTAACGATCATTTAACCGGGGAAAATTTCATACTCGTGGGAAGTTCAATTTCTACGATAGCTTTCTGGAAATTCTGCTTGATTGATTGTAAAGGCAAAAAAAAAAAAAAAGGTTGTTGCGCCATTTTTCTTCGCCTCCTCTCTCTCTCTTAATTATATGAAATCACGTGATTTGGACTGATAATGGCACTAATATAGAACTTTCGAACAAACTGTTGTTGGTGGACGAACCTTAGGCTATTTCCTTTCAGTTTATTTAGATGAACACTCTACATGAAACACAAATATGCAACTGCATCCACCCTACATTCCTGTTTACAGTTTTCTAAAAATGATACGTTAAATTCACAATTTAAACTTTTGAGTTAATACATTTTTGTGTTTTTATGATAAAAGGTATAACGGTCGATGTAGCCCCGAATCTAAAAATAAAAAAAAAAGTCAAGCGCCTCACAGAAATTACAGCAGTAAATGGCCATGCGGGATTTAACAGTTATTATACATATAATCATCTCTAAGAACTTGATCTCAAATTGACAAAATCACGGCAATTGAGGTTATCCAAAGGGAAGTATATAGAGAGTTAATGGCGTGGGAAAATCCCCCTCTAACCACACGAAACAATTGTCCACCATAACGGGCAGCCGGAGCAAAGAGGGAATCACCTGCTTTAGTGTAATACCTGGATTAATGATGTGAAGGGCTGTTGTTGGTACTCTTAGACAACCTGTTTGAACATCTGTCTCAATGTATGCCAGCTAGTGCGAATTGTATGACAAAGCTGGGTGGCTGTAATATTAGTTACACAAGAAACTCTCAAGGACTCACTTTGTCATTAACTTACTTAGTCTTGATGGTTGATTCTATAAAGAAAAATAACTTCAAATTTGACAGCATATAACGGATGTCCTGTAGAAATAAAGATAAAAGTCAGTTCTTTTTCTCCATGTGTGTTCAATCGTGTCATTGCTTATAATAAAAGACAATCCGTTTTGCGTATTAAACTTTTAATCTCAAATGTCTTTTTATAGATTACAGACTCCAAATAAATTTACATCATAACTAGTTTCTTAGATATACGAGATGGATCTAAATTACGTTTACTTCTCGTGAAGTATTGGACAAAAAATTAAGTGGTTGGTTGGGAGAACGCATTGCATATTTGCAATTTTTAAAATTCTTCTTTATATAACAGCTGAGCTGGAAAGGCCACAATTAATTTGGCTTTTACATGACCAGTCAGTCCGCCTCCAAAGAATGATATCTATGAAATACAAGCGATTGAGATTTCCCCTAATTGTATACTTTGCAAGACTTGCGATACGAAGTGTCGAATGGGTGGGGGAAAGGCACTTGCAGAGAATCTTTTTTTTTATTATTTTATTTTATTTACGAAATAGCATATAAGACTCCATCATTTTTGTGAGCAGTCAATCAATCTACGCAAGAGCCTGTCCAGAGAGAACAGCACTTATTATGGCCTCCTTTCAAGAGAAGGTCGTTGACCGGTCGTCTGTCGCAATGAATGCTTGAGTTTACCAGAGGGCCTATCTGTCACCTACTTTGATATTTTCTCACATACAGAATATCATAAACCTCCCAAGAGTTACCGATTTTCTCTGTTCATCTATTTTCATGAAAACAAAATGGCGAAACTAGACAAATCTGGCCCCAAACGGTAAAAGCAGAAATTGTTGAATAATACTAAAAATATAAAACAACCCCCTTTATTATTGCGTTCAAAAATTGTTTCAGTTGAACGATCTCGCGCGGAAGAAGGCGTCATAGCTTAAATTATAGTTCCCTGTCTCAGAAAACTGTAATGTATTCCTAAGCACAATTATATTACGTACAGAGCTCCTTGTTACGTTCTAAGACAAACCACCCCTAATCAATTTCTGCTGAAGACACTTTCACTCTGATTTTTCTCAGTCTGACCACAATCAAGACTCCACTCTGAAACACACGTTCATTTATGGAAAGAACAAAAGCTCTGGCACTCAGCAGGCTTCCTCTGCGCGGACAAACGTAAATACATGCCAGAGAGAAGTCGGTTTTACTAATTACTAGCAATTTCTTGAGAGATAAAAGCTTTCTCAGATCGCAGGATGCAGCTGTGCTTATTTAAAGTAAAATGCAGGGAAACTCTTGATCAATAATCCAGAAAATAATTATTCTCGTATAGATTTCGCCTTAATAACCTTCACCGTGATTTCCTGTAATTTGTGCGCGAGGCTGCAGAAGCTTCAATCCGAGGTAAAAATCTATATTCTTTTATTTAGTTTCAACTGTTCGAGGAGAAGAAACTGGATTCGATTTTATTACCACTGCATTTTTACCGCTATTTCTTTTCTTCTTTAGTTCGCCCCCTGTCTTATGTGCAGATCCGAGGAATGCGATTTAAGGTGCATGAAAGTCATGTTCAAGCTGGCAAAAAAAAAAAAATAAATAATAATAATAATAATAAATAATAATTAAAAAAATCGCCTTTTTTGAGTATTCTAAAACCGCATTTCTATACGGTTGAAACATTTTCAGTTAGTGTCAAAACTACACAAAAGTGCACTTAACCAATTTACCGTTGTTTTCCTCCTTCATATGACAGTTGAAAGCGAAACCCGTCTAAAATAAAGAAGAAAAATTGACATATTGAGCATCAAATGACTTGTAACCATGACGACAGTTAAGTAGGTCCGGATAAATAGAGCCCAAGAGATGAACGTAAAGATCAATCTTGTAAATTGATGCAGCTACAGGGCAAATGCTAGTTGCATTTAAAATCTTTCTTCTGCCTCTATCATCAATGAAAAAAGTAAACTGGGAATTTTAGAAAATGTGGCCAAAGACTAATTAAACGAGAAGTTAGACATCGAGTCAATCAAGGTTCTCCTCAAGTTCAGTTTACCGAGGTTGTTTTTATGTAAAGAAACGACCCAAATACTTTTCTCTTAAGAAGCAGGAAATTTCAACGAATCCTTCTGCCAAAGAAAATGCATATCAACGCTGCACCACCACCTTGATTGTGGAGGAACAGTGTGTTAGTTGTGCGCTGCGCTGGTCAACGTACAGAGCACCAACCGCAATGATTACCATTTACGTGCCACCCAACGCGTTGTTCGCGTAGAAAAAGATGCCCGGCACATGACCAGTGGCCGTAAAACAAATACAAAATGAAATCCAAATAAATATGATACAATGTAGGTCTTTCCTTGTGCAGATGATACAGACATAAATCACACAATAATAATGAAACTGTTAACATATTTTTAATTTTATTAACAGCAATGCTGCTAAAATGTAAGCAAAGGTTTAAAAAATATTATTTTGAATTTAAAAATAGTTTTGAACGTAATTTCAAATGTAATGTATAAAAAACATGACAATGAAATATTTGCAGTACTATCAAAAAAAATTGTTACAAACTACTGAAATCATAATGTGAACAAAACATTAATTTACGTTCATCCAGTAAGANGCAAAAAAAAAAAAAAAAAAAAAAAAAAATAATAATAATAAATAATAATTAAAAAAATCGCCTTTTTTGAGTATTCTAAAACCGCATTTCTATACGGTTGAAACATTTTCAGTTAGTGTCAAAACTACACAAAAGTGCACTTAACCAATTTACCGTTGTTTTCCTCCTTCATATGACAGTTGAAAGCGAAACCCGTCTAAAATAAAGAAGAAAAATTGACATATTGAGCATCAAATGACTTGTAACCATGACGACAGTTAAGTAGGTCCGGATAAATAGAGCCCAAGAGATGAACGTAAAGATCAATCTTGTAAATTGATGCAGCTACAGGGCAAACGCTAGTTGCATTTAAAATCTTTCTTCTGCCTCTATCATCAATGAAAAAAGTAAACTGGGAATTTTAGAAAATGTGGCCAAAGACTAATTAAACGAGAAGTTAGACATCGAGTCAATCAAGGTTCTCCTCAAGTTCAGTTTACCGAGGTTGTTTTTATGTAAAGAAACGACCCACATACTTTTCTCTTAAGAAGCAGGAAATTTCAACGAATCCTTCTGCCAAAGAAAATGCATATCAACGCTGCACCACCACCTTGATTGTGGAGGAACAGTGTGTTAGTTGTGCGCTGCGCTGGTCAATGTACAGAGCACCAACCGCAATGATTACCATTTACGTGCCACCCAACGCGTTGTTCGCGTAGAAAAAGATGCCCGGCACATGACCAGTGGCCGTAAAACAAATACAAAATGAAATCCAAATAAATATGATACATTGTAAGTCTTTCCTTGTGCAGATGATACAGACATAAATCACACATTAATAATGAAATTGTTAACATATTTTTAATTTTATTAACAGCAATGCTGCTAAAATGTAAGCAAAGGTTTAAAAAATATTTTGAATTTAAAAATAGTTTTGAACGTAATTTCAAATGTAATGTATAAAAAACATGACAATGAAATATTTGCAGTACTATAAAAAAAAAATTGTTACAAACTACTGAAATTATAATGTGAACAAAACATTAATTTACTTTCATCCAGTAAGACTACAGAAATGACAAGGGTTGCTCTTCTAGTTAAATCTTCTACTTAAAGATATTTAAAGTATGAAAATATAGGGGCATCTGTTCATCTTACATCAAGTACACAACAAGAAACAATGTTAGCTTTGAAAGATCTTGAAAAGTTACTGATTGTAAAGTGACATACAATATTAAGTGCATCTCAGTGGATGATATTTTATATTTACAGCAATAATTATGGACGATCATATTGGTAAATGTCCTGACAAAAATTTACCAATGTAGGACTCTGTCTCTATGCTGAACAACAGCTTACAGTGCAGAGCAAAAATAAAGTTATAACAAAATAGTTTCCATTTTTCCTTCAAATTATGCATTGAATAATGCTTTACTTGCAATTGCCAAAGAAAGATAAATACAAAAGTCAGTAGAATGAGTTTGCACAAATTCAAAAATCACAGCAAATCTCCATAAAATAAGCCTCTGTAACAACCTTCAAGATGTTAGAAGCTCATTTAATTTCAACTTCTTCTAGATTAGACCCCTTAACAGGGGGCACTTGGGCAGAACTTCCATAATCATCAGACTTCTTGTAATCATTTCCTGGTAACGTGTAAATATGCCTGTCTTTAAACAAGTCGGAGACAAGTGCACTCTGAAAATCGAAAAATAATGGAAAAATATAAACAAGTAAATAAAATTTCATATCAGAATTTCTAACATAAAGAGAATGAAGAGGTACTGAATAACAATTGATTACTATAAGTATTTTAACTATCTTTGAGGCAGACATGGGTTTAAAATTGAAATGCAAGAAGCCACCTAAAGCTGACATATCTGCAGACAACTTACCACAACTAGAGCTACAGCTGCGCCAAGACTCAGTCCAGCTAGCACATCACTCCAATGGTGTTTATAGTCAGAAATTCTGGACAGTCCAGTCAGCAATGCCATGGTTATAACCACTAACTGTAGGAATGGTTTTAAAAGTCTGCTTCTATTCCACTGCATCCTAGCTTGTATGTAGATCTATTAATGAATATAATTAATATTTGTTATCAATCCAGTGTCTCATGGGAGCTGGAAGGTCATGTATTACACATAAAATGTAATTCACATGCATGAACTCATACTTTATTTGTTTCCTCTGTCAAAGGCAGTATTTAGAATCGAGATGAGTTCAAAGAAGACATGTATGGCACGTACAATGTAGTTGCTGAAAATTGATACACTGGACCACAGCATGGTCTTTCAAGTAGCACATTGCATAAATGGAAGCAACATAAGACAGAAATGTGTAAGTGGCATGCAATACATGTACAATAATAACAATGATTACTTACAGCTAGATACATCATACAATACATGGAATATGAGGCATGACCTGATAAAAATGACAACCTGTGTAAAGACAAGAAAATTGTTAATAATAATAATAAAATGACATTTGCAAGATTAAGTTCACTTAATTAACAACATTCATTCATCTATTACATATTAATTATAGATCAGTTGATGTCATAGTACAGAAATGCCTTTACCTGGCTTCATGAACCAGTTTAGCATCCCCCATGCATGTATAATCCACAATATACCGCATCAAGTCATCTGCAGTGCTACAGTTCAATGCTGAGAATTCTGGCTTACATACAGAGATGAAGTGGGGTCTTAGGCGCCCAATGCTGTATTTACAACAGTCTGTGAGGAGCTGACATACCAAGGCTCCAAACAAAAACACTCCTATGACCTTGTAACAAGACCAAACAAATGGATGGACCTCACGTGAACACATTTGGTGACTCTTGTGGCCTGATCCTCGACAATAAATTAAAGCTTCTCCTAGCAACATCTGAAAGGAGCAAGAATAAGGAAATTTACTACTAGTTTTACATCTTTTATGACAAAATCAAGATGTAATCTGTACATACAGTAAAAAAGTTATCCAAAGATTTGCATACAAACACATTTTTTCTTAAAACAAATAGCTGTCTCACATATAAATCAATGGTATAGATATTAAGGTAAATAAAATACAAAAACCCTCTTGTTATCTCAACAAAGTTAGGGAAAACAGTAAATGGTTCATATCCAAGCAAATCTTATGTCCTTTATCAGTGTTAGTACTAAAGGGCCATCATTTTTTAAGTTCTGAAAATACTACAAAATTAGATTATGATTTTGAAGCAGCTAGTTATAATACAATTTTTGAGCAGGGCTATAAATTTTATTACTAGTATTTCAATCATAATGATGCAACATGACTGTAGGAAATTAGCACTAGCCTATCTACAAAGGAAATGGAAAGATTTAATGCAACAAAAATATATTTATATGAATGATATTTTAGGGAAGCTACTTGGTTAATATGCTCATTATTGAACACTTTCTATTGAATTTGAAGAAACAAATCAAAAGTTAACATAAATCTATCACAATAAATTGCGACTTACTGAAATGATAGGTAGACCAATGGATACTGTGAACATCACTGCAGCAGAAATGGTGGAATTTTTGAAAGGGTATTTAATACTCTCATCATCACAGAAGAAACCTCTATGGAAAGGTTTGATTAGAAATTCTAAGAAGAAGAGCGGTGTTGCCACTACAACAAAAGCATATTGTTAAATTCTAAATTGTTTGTTATGAATAAGCATCAGCAGACAGCAAATCTGTGCCTACTAGACTGTATCTATAATCACACAGCTCAAAGATCGACCTCTGATATTGGTATTGTCATTGATCTTTCTGCACAAATTTGAAGATCAAAACCAGCTCCAAAATCAAAAGTTAATCAGTGAAAAACATTTCTGAGGTCTAAGATATGGATGGTCTATAAACAAATTTATATAATTCAAAATATATATGAATTCCAAATAATCTTATTTATCAATGGGAGCTTTCAATTTCATTTGTGTAAACCCTTGTAAATTGTTTCTGCCTTGACATTTGAAGCAATGTCTGCCATCCATATCTTCCTCTGTTCTCCCTGTACCCCACACTTACACAAAGTACAGGTAAACCTGTCCCCACAGCAATCAGCACACCTGTGGACACTGTGCTCTCTTTAAATGGATGCTTGATACTCTCATCATCACAAAAGAACCCTCGATGGAAAGGGTCAATGGCAAAATTTAAAATAACAACTACAACTCCAACTGAAAAGAAGATAAAGACTTAAATGGATATATGCAATTATTCATAGTCTGCTGCAAGACTTAGAATCTCTATACATCATTTTGTGCTGTAAATGGGATAGGAGGACAAATATTAGTTATGAATCAATTGTATAGAGTTACAAATATTGTAGCTTGAATGGAAAACTTATCAAATTCTAAAAGTAAAGAATGTCTTGAAAACGGGTGGCATGATCCGATCTACCGGTGAATTCATGTTCCTTTGGTTCCACGTCTGGTAGTTGAGTAGGCCTGATATAGTACACATCAGAAAACTAAATTTGAGAGCTAACACATTAAACTTTGTACTATGCTTTGCTTTGCTTTGTGACATATCCCACAATGAGTAGGCTGGATAATAGTTCTGCCCAAAAATTAAACACCACATTCTGACATCTCATAACCATATTTTATGTAAATCAGAATTAATCAGTATTGTAACTTGTAAGACACTTGTTAGGCCCTTTTTGTGAACCAGTTTGAGGGATTAAAGGGATAACAACTCTTAGTATGAGATACATATTTTATAATAAATACACTATAACAACTCACAAAAATATAACCAAATCTATTTTACCACCAAAATGGTGGTTATCTCAATTATTCTGGAAACTGTGATGACACAAGACCATGTGACCTCCTTAAATGTCTACTTTTAACAGTAAATCCATTAAAAGTAAATAAATAAATAAATAACCAAGGACTAACTTTGAATGTTAGATAGATTCATTAACCATTGGCAAGTCTGGATAAATTTACCACAGGAAAATCCTTTTTTTCCCAAAATAACCAGTATTTACCACTTTAACCTGACTACCAGTGTACTAGTATCGAAACTGAGGGTCTGTGTAACAGAAAGTCCGTCCTCATTTTAGTTATAAATTATAATGGTTAGGGTTAGCTTTACCTAAGTGGGTCAAAATCTAGGGAGAGGCTTACCTGTACAAATGAATGGGAAACGAATACTCAAACATGGAAGACTCTGTCACGCTACACCGTAATTAGCATTACGTACGATAAGAAAGTCAACCAAAAAAAAAAAAAAAAAAAAAAAAAATTCCCCAGCTCTCCACACGGGGTTGGGAAAGGGAGCAAATCACCGTAGCGTACTAACATGTTAGCACCAGTCTAATTAATGCGAAACAGAAAACGGAAACATTTTGGATCGATTCAGAAAGAGAAAGTACACTGATATAAATCATATGCATCACCCCACCGTATACCGCTTAACGATGTTTGACAGTGTGTATGGCACTTTCTTTCTCACAAAATATCTGATTACCTGAAGCAAGGACAAGGCCATCGATTAACATTTGGATCCAACTGCCCATTTTCCTTTTTCGGAGACAGTAAAGAAAACACATCAGAAACTTCCTACTCGCTAGTGAGCATCCTGTACGATCTAACGACACCTGCGCATGTGCGAATGGAGCATACCGCCAGGGCCTCCTTTTACAAGACAAGCTGAATTTCGTACAGCATGACAGATGTTGACACACAAGATTTTACTTGTGAGAAAGAAGGGGGTGGAGGAAATTTTGGTTTGCTTGCCTGCCAGCGAGTCCTTTATGGTGTTTGTTTAAATTTTGGCAAATAACATGTTTCTAACATTATAATATTACAGAGAATAATAAAACAAGCTTCTACAATTAATTTTTATGTACAGACACAGATGTGTCTGTACATATTGCCATCACCTGCGTCTGTCGTCGCCGTCGTCGCCGTCGCTGTCGCCGTCGGCGCCGTGCACTTTCCTTGTAAACACGATAAGTGGAGGTCAGTTTTACTTTTTGGCTTTATATTTACAGAGCTGATGAATATTCATAAAATGCAGGTCAAGTTCGAAAATCAGCATGATCGGGCCACTATTTTAGTAGTTATGCTGTTTTTTCATTTTTCAGCATATATGCAACACTGTAAACACCATATAAGAAAAACAGATAAACCAATTGTCATTTAACTCACAGGAGTGGTCAATCTTACTAAAACGCAGGTTGAGTTCGAAAATCAGCATAATTGAGCCATTATTTTAGAAGTTATGGTGTTTTTTCACATTTCCTCAGATTCAATTCTTAGGCATGTTAACAGTCTCATTATTGAACCAATAAGATACGTAAAAGTGTTTTTGACATATCCTGGATCTTTACAACATTGTTAGTTGATTTTGTAAAAATGATGGTAAACTTGTTTTCATGCATTGTGTAATAAAGTTTCAAAAATGGAAATAAACTCCTATCATTGCAGTTTGTCAGATTGAATCANTGACAACTGGGTTCAAAATGGCCGCATCATCCAAGATGGCGGACAATATTTCACTATTTTTTGCAATTAAGTCATGTTTTCTTCAATCTAGAATTTCTTTTAAGAGTGATATAAGAAAAAACTGTCATAACATATAGCTTTTTTATAATATTTCACACATTTCTGTTGTCTGCATGCACTATGTAGGCTTTTTGATTAAGAGAAAAATCCAATATGGCTGCCACACACCCCTCACCATAATGAGTCAGAAGCACAATGTATATCTTTTTGAAAGTTGAAATACCTTATTAAATGAAGTATATTTTATTTTTATTTTACAATATGCAGGTATAGAACAATTGCTTTAAATATTTCAAGGTAAATTTGAGATGGTGTCTTGACCCAAGATGGCTGCTTTATTCAAGATGGCGGCCAAAAATTTGGCAATTTTTGCAGTTAGGTCATGTTTTATTTAATCTAGAATTACTTTCAATCTTGATAGAAGCAACACACCATCAAATATAAGTTATGTACAGTATGACCTGTATTTCCTCTCTCTGTACAGTATTAATCTTTATAGTTAGAAAAAAATCCAACATGGCCACCATGCATGTCGACCGTTATGGCCCAAAGGTGCGCACAGCATGCACCTTATTTGCAAGATCAAATATCTTCTTCAATGAAGTATATTCCATGTTTCCTTTGCAATTTATTGGTAAAGGACAATTGCTTATTTTTGAATGTAAAGCTGAGACCATATCTTTTTTCAAAATGGCTTATTTATCCAAGATGGCTGCCTTTATTTTACCATTTTCGCAACTGAGGCACTTGTTCTATAATCTAGAAATTATTTCAAACATGGTAAAAGCAATATTTTAAGAAATATAAATTCTCCTAAATATCTCATACATTTTAATATTTGTAAAGAATATGATTAAGCCTTTTTCATTAGAGAAAAATCCAATTTGGCTGCCATATACCCCTTACCATTACAAATCAATGGTACCATGTGTACTTTACTGATAGTTGAAATCTGTTATTTAATGTATATTTTTCAGGTGGCACTGATATAGATTTTATAGATGACATCAAAGACTTGTCATCCCAGATGTCATGTAATGAACTTTTCTTTATATATGGATTGAATGTCATAAAAATGTAGGATGCTTAATTCAAGTGTGGGCTTGAAATAGGACATTACGATTTCGACTAACTTAGTGGATAATGCAATCTAAAGATTCTACACTTCATGCCAGATTTACATAAGGTCGCACAAAGAAAACCCAAGTCCACATAATGACCAGTTAAAGGATTTATTCGTTGATGTTTCTAAGTCTCCAAATCCTAACTTCTTGAAAACACGTCTGCTCCGTTTTTCCCAATCTCCTCTCCTCTTCTTCTTTTCTCTCCCAAAGATATAAATTCTCATTGCTTATATACCAATTTCTTATCTTATGTAGATCTAAACATTAATTTCCTATAATTGTATAGTTAAATTTTTCACATGAGCATAATACAAAGAGGCCGGCACAAAACTCCAAAGCTGTTGGACCACATCAGGTTACATCATGAGACTTCATAAAATATATTTTTTATCTTAATGCCGGACATGACAGGCATGTATGTTACTATAATGTTGCCATGCAGCATTACTTTTAACTTAACAATTAATATTAAGTTGGGTTTATTTAGATGATGTGGACCTTTAAAACTTGATTTCAGAGGTAAAACGGGATTACAAACAGATTTCAAAATATGTGATAATTATCCTTCACACAACAGGCATATATTCATTTTTCATAACATCTCTGCTCATCCATCATTCCTGACAAGCTCTCTCCAACTGTAACATGTTTCTATACCTATGGATGCTGTCCTGATAGTTATCTTTTGGAATAAGACTTTGAGAAGCTGCTGGCCATACCAAACTAACCACGTTATAAGCAGTTTTGAATTTCTCTGCGGGGGCATGCCTTTTTTGTCCATAAAAATGAGTTGCTATTAGATGTGCACCTGAATATGTAGGGACACTACATTGATCAATACTTCTTCCCTGTATCTAGCACTGTTAAAGGGTCATGGAATAAGAACCAAGGACAATCTGTGGTCATGGGTGTATCCATCTCTTAACATTATGAATCCTCCACCACCCTGCTGCCTTGGAAGGATACAATATTTTCCACAGGTTTCACCAGCTCAAATCAGCATAGTAGATACAGGGACAAGATCCACGTCAAAATAATGCTTATCGAGTACCTTATGTTATGGTTCCTTCAGTTCATTGCCCAATGGGTGAAAAACCTTTTTGTGCTTGGTGATCAGATTTTCTTTTCCCAAAGGAGAGTGGAAACTAAAGGATCCGACGCGTCTAAGATTCCTCCTGAGGAAACATGGTGTTACAGTGGATTGGAGAATTGGAGCATTTAGTACTTGGGTATTTCATTAAGCATATTGGTAAAGAGGTCATGGGTATATTCCTCAGAACCTAGCCATACACATTGCAGGTTGCAAAAATTGGAAGGTTTCTTCCAATTCATACATTGATCTTTGTCTTACATATTACATAAAGCACTTATGGTCCACATGGATGTGGTTTGAGTACAGTTTATGAGCTTACCGGGCGTAGTTTCTTTAACTCTCCTTATAAGCATGGGAAGTGCAAATGCTTGGCATTTTGTAATCTTTTCCAGCATGGAGGAGAATGTCACCACCTTACAGTTACATGGTATTATGGAAGAGGCGCGCATGATTTTTGTACAGCTATATGGATTTTTGGGTCTTAAGATATGACCAAAGGCCCTGCATATTTGCTTCTTGCAAAGCAGATCTTAGGTTTCTCCTCCCAACTGAGGATGCTCTTCATTTCTATACCTTATGAGCTTTACCCTTACCAAAATATCAGGTCAGTTGCAAACTTACTGCTTTATTGCTGCAAATCTTCTGCAAATTGCAATTCCTTCTTTCCAATTTGCTGCAATATTCTGCAAATCAGCAGCAATAAAATTAATGATGACTTAATGATATGGGACATTATAAACTGCTAAACAGCAAAATGCATACAGCTAGGCCAATAAGACCGTTCACAGTAGGTTACGGTCAGTGCGACCGTGACTCCTGATAACCCCCGCGTGGATAATAACAGGGCAAATAGCGACAGTTTAAGCTTTTAAGTTATCAATCGTAACCATCTCGGATTCCCCGCTGTCTACATCGTGTCCCGTCAAGCAGCCTGTGCAATCATACGCCCCGCTAGTTCCAAGCATTGTTCTGGCGTAGAACGGCACGTGCCCTTTGTTAAGACATGGAAGACTAAATGTTGGGTTTAACCATGGTTCAAGCACTGACGATATTTCTGTTTATTCACCGCATTTCAAACTTCGTAGACATTTTCAAAAATAGAATTTTGTAATTGTATGAAATATAATTAATTTACCTATGTTGCCCTTTCATCTTAATTTTGGCTTACTTAGATGAAACGATAAGAGTCACGATAACATGCTCAAGCCAATTGAAAAAGTGAAGTATGAATATGGCAGAATTATGCGGTGATTGTCTTTTTCAATGAAGTGAAATGTGACCTACATGTATATATAATGAAACAAATTATTGCAGTCAATGAATAGTCGGTTTATTCACAATTAACAAGGAACGTCCATACAGTAAACTACAACAATTTTATAAAAAATAAATTTTAAAAATGGAAAATTAATAAAATGGCTCTTACGAACAGTCATTTAATTGAAAAAGTGCATTCTCCTGATAATCATGAATCTAATATCCGGATGCACGGCCTTCCCTTTTCAACACCTCCGGAATAACTTTGTTTATATAGTTTATGTACTTTATACATTCCTCAGTTGTGACCGTCTTCCAGAATTCCTGCATCCCACTTACAAGTTCATCTTTTGTTTTTGGCTTAGTGTATTTTCATCGTAGACCAGATGTTTTCTATGGGATTTAAGTCTGGACTCTCGGGGGGAGTTTGAAACCAGTTTATTGCATTTTCCTTAAGAAATCCTTTAGTTTTCCTGCTTGTGTGCTGGGGGCATTGTCCTGTTGGAATCTATGATGATTCGGCATCGACGTCTTAATGAAGGGTGAAAATGAAATTATGTCTTTCGTATTCCTGTTCCCAACCAAAGTTGAGCCCTGGCTCTCTTGAAAAAGTATACCCACCCCATTTAACCATTTCACCTCTTCAGCCCTGATTGTAACATTTAACATCAATAGGAAAGATGTGAATTAAATTTCTTGTTGCTGGACCCAGTGACATTAATATAAGGTTGTTTTAATAGTACATAAAATCGCACCAAGACCTCATTGAAATACATATATATAATTACACCCTTTACAGCAACCGGACCCCTTAATTGATGTACACCGTACAATGCACGTATATACAGTGCAATTGCCGCTTTCACCTCCTTTATTGTTCTGTATGAAAAGAAAGGAAGTTGTTTGAGTTTAGTTCAATAAAGGCAGTCCCTTAGTCCCAGGTGCACAGCTTTTAGCTTCTGTTGCAGATGATTTGACTTAAAATAAATTAATTGATATGCTGCTTTTTCTTTAGGGACTTTTAATAAGGCCACATTTGGAGTAAATATGAAATTATACTTGAAACATCTAAGTGAAATCTATATTGACGTCCTGACAGATGTGTTTAGATAAACGTTTATGTACGAACGTTGCTTAGTACTGTATAGCAAATGCACATCTCCCGTCTCGACACAATGAAGAGAGAACTTTGAGGGAAATTGTCAAGACTCTTTCTTCTATCATACCGGTATATTAATTATCGACGGAGACGCACGACCAGAAATTACCTCGTTTCGATGTTTAACGCACTAATGTAGATCAAATTAACCTTTTCAGGTCTATGCCTGACATCACTTAACAAAACTCCAGCATAACATTGATTGCCAAGTGTGGTTGTTTTATGTCGGCGGCNGGGAAATTGTCAAGACTCTTTCTTCTATCATACCGGTTTATTAATTATCGACGGAGACGCACGACCAGAAATTACCTCGTTTCGATGTTTAACGCACTAATGTAGATCAAATTAACCTTTTCAGGTCTATGCCTGACATCACTTCACAAAACTCCAGCATAACATTGATTGCCAAGTGTGATTGTTTTATGTCGGCGACACCATTTCAACCTTTGTAAAGTGTGACTATGCATTTCTTCAGGAATGCGGGCTATAAGCAAGCAAAATGATATACAGTATTTGCCCTTATAAATGCATTTGTATTTAAATATTTAGAATAGACTATTAGTGATAAAGTTGTTTTGAGACTGCCTGTTTTTCAAAATGTCCTCAACATTCCTCATATAAAGATGATAGTTGTCGAGAGAATTGTGCGCGATATATTTCGAGAGGAGAATAAATACGTACGTAAGTACATGTATACACAAGTACAGTTAATGTACGCTGCAGGAACAGGAAAATATTTCGGCGTCATTCTTCAAATATCAACTGTACAAGTGAGTCCCTTTTTGATGCTTTTTAAGTTTCAATACAAGTAAATGACTGTCCCACAGACCAGTTCTACAAATGTTTTTCGATTTTTTCTTAAATATGTATGTTTACATGTGTGGTGTATCAAACTCCATCGCATTAAAGGATGAGACCAGCTTGTGACCACCATTGCAGATAAAATCGCAACTACATTGTAGGGCTTCTTATCTGATGCACGTTTGCACGTTGTAATTGCTCCTTTCGCCCCCGTTATTGTTCTCTCGGAAAAGAAAGGAAGTTGTCTTTGTCTTCAATATGTTTGAGCTTAGGCAGTCCCTTAGTCCCAGGTGCACAGCTTTTAGCCTCTGTTGCAGATGATTTTATTTAAAGTGAATTAATTGATATACTGATTTTTTCTTAATGCAATTATAAGTTATATAAGCAACATATAAGAATATAAGAATATATATGTAACAATTATTACACTTGATACATCGTAGTGAAATCTATCTTGTCGTCTTGACAAATGTGTGTATATTTGTTTGTGGACCTTTAACAGTGCTAGAGAGGGTACACATTTGCACCCATCTTAGTGTCATGAAGAGTTTACTTCCTTATCTCTGTAGTGGCGATGCTCTTCATAGTAAATTTTTTAATATCATTCAACTAGAAAAGAGACATTTTCATAAATAACCAAGGCTTATAAACACGTCCTGAAATAATGATAATGTACAGCGTATTTAATTTTTTTGTTTATTTTTATTGATTTGTAGATTGAGTGTTATGTTGCCAAATACTATTATTTGCAGACAGATATGGAGTGGTAGAGTGCGATAATGGTGGAGTCGTTAGTGTCGACACGTCAAAGTCATACTATCATTTTTTATTTATTCTCTTCAAATTGAGCGTTGGTTTGTGTTTACACTTGTTTATTTAAGTGAATATGCTGTTAATTGTATTTTCTGCTAAACCCGCTTTATATATTCCCGTTTAACTGAAGAAGTACAGTAAGTAGATGCTTTGATTTTTGAAGTAATAAGAAGCGGTGCAATATTTACCGGACAGCAATTAGCGGCTATTAATGACATCACGCCTAAATGCACACGCTTCCTGAATAAGACGGTCGCCCCCTGCCAGGTTGAGAGATCGGGACACGCTCTCCTGCCACGCGACTGGCTAAATATCCATTGTTAAACGATCCTCCTACTGCCATTGTTCAAAAAGTGGGCGGTAGGCTTGGTCACGGTGAAGAGTAACCGTGTTCGTAGACACGATCATGGTAGTGAGAACAGATTAAAAAGCCTAGCTGTAGACCCCAATACTGACAAAGCCCAAATTTTACGTGGAACGAGTTGAGATTATAGGTGACCTAAATACAAGAGATGAGTACGCAGGCCCTTGAAGTCCAGGAGGAGAAGCGGTAACGGTGACATGGCCGCGGAGCCGGCGGAACAGGCTGGTCGGGTCTAAAACCATGTGTACCACCAGCGTAGGAGCTGGCGGTACAATAACTATTGCATCAGCACTAAGTTCAACTGTTACTATACTATATAGCCTTTGGCCAAATACTTAATACACACTTGTCTATCTTCCAGATTAATTGTAGGCCTATACAACCTTATAGATTAACATATTACTTCTTGGTTTAAACATAACACGGACATTAAACACAATTTAACTTACTTGCCACTGATACATTTTACACCCATTTACCTTCTAACAATTACTAAACTTGGGAACCCTGCACTACTAAATAACTCAATAAAATTCAGCAAAACATAAACATCCAGTAAACCAAGTGTAGACGTAAACTTACCATTGACTCCCTTGTCTCCTATAAATAAATCCTGCTTGTCTATAACTTTCAAAATCTGGACCTGCCTGTCTCTTAAGTTCAAAATATCTGCCTGACATTGCATGGTAAAAGCTAGAAGGTCACGTGACTACATCTGACTTACATGTGGATTGTGCTAGTTGTGCTGCTTGCGCATTTTTGCACCTACAGTCTGTATTAAGTCTCCACTCCTCCTCTCTCAGTATTACTTTCCACGAGAGACAAAATCACATCATTAAGAGATCCCCTTAATTAGGCGACGGAAGATAGCGCGTAAGACTTTTGGAGTTTCTTTATTAGTGATAATACTCTATACAGGTTTTAGCAAAAGCTGAATACAGGTATTCATATCTTCCCTGCCTGATACAGTCAGCGCTTAGCAGACCTGAGACCTCATGTATGACCTTATTTATGTATGACGTATTTTCATCCACTGGCAATAAGTTTGTATTTGTCAAACTTTTCCAAAAAGTTCATCACATCTTACTTTGTGACTTACTTTGTACTTTTGTCGCGTATATATTTGTGGGGAGTGTTGAGTGCGTGTTGTGAAAAAAAAATTATTATCGTTATTTAGTCTGTAATGTGTAAGACCCCATTCCCATAGGTTTTAGATCGATCTATCCCTGTGTGAAGTCTCACTAGATTACTGTCAGCTTAGCCGGCTTAAATGTCTGTCCTAAAAGTACCCTAGGTTCTAGAGTAAGTGGCAAAATTAAGTGCAATGAGGTGTAGTGTAATTATCTATATCCCCTATTGGCAACATTTTGGTCATTGTTATGTTATATATGCTAGCTGTTATGATGAGATTTTGTGCATGTTAAATCTTTGCTAGGTGAATGGAATGAGAAGCTTATTTATCTGCTGAAAGTGGAAGATTTTTTGAATCATTACTTTTTGACAATTTATAGGCAGTTTGGTGAATAAAATGATGTATTCAGTTTTGACAAAATATGTGCTTAATATCTGGTATTTGCAGAGAAAATGCTTGTTTACATTGTTAATAGTCCAAAACGGCTGACTATTCAGTATAAGTCTTTATATTATTGTTGAAATTCTTTCATGTGACTGTACAATAAATGTCGAGCATCTTCGCTTTCCCACATGTGCCTCCATTATTCAATCATTCAGATAAATATAAATTTTTGAAATAAATATTTACACCGTTAATCAAGACATTGAAGATCCTTCTTGTAAATCTTTTCTTACTTATATGTATATCAAACGTCGGCAGAAGATAGTTGAACAAGATACTAGTAAGAAATGCATCTGTTTCCAGAACATCTTTCCTCATTGTTTATAATTTGGACAAATAAAACACTAAATACGTCATGGTTAAGAATCATTTAACGTTACCTTGACTGTTAACTAATAAAACAGAAGCGATTACAGCAACAACAATTAAACACCCTGCCAATTTCCATAAAACATACAGTTAAAATTTCAAATCCCATTACAAAAACAATGAATTAAGTGAGCACTACGTATGCAGTTAAACTCATACCGTAGTTCCACATAGTCATTCTCCCATTTATGGTGACATCCTGACCGTTGCAGAGAGAGCTAGAATTACATGCGCACACTTCACCGACGATGCTTGTGATTCCCACGTCCGGATACGTCATCCCGGGAAAGTAGGCCGCATCCCACGTGTCGTTATCACTTGGGCTGAACTGGCGACAACTGTCGTAGAAATCCGTGTTGTTTGGTGCACAGGCTCGTGCAAAGGTGTGGATGTTCATGCTGAAATTTCTCTAAAATTAAAGGTCAAAAACTATCAGTACATATGACTACATAACAGCATTTCTATAAAATGAAGAGAATGGTGTTATCATCTCATTGATTTATGACCATTCAAAAGTGGTCGAAAAAATATCAGGATGAACTATTAAAGTTTCTCTTAAAATATAGCACACCGGTATTCTTTTAATTATTAAGACTGCTCAACACAGTAAAATGCTCTTCGTTGGATAATAACTTTTTTGATCATCATCATCATTATCAAAATTGTCATTATACATTGTACACTGATTAATTTAATTTGAAAGAAGATCTGAAAATTAAGCCAACTATATAAGCGTTTAAAAGTATAAAGGTGAGATTCTACTGCCCTTTGAAACTCAGGGCGTCATGTGCGTTTAAAAGTATAAAGATGAAATTCTATTACCCTCTGAAACTCAGGGTGACTATTGTAAGGCCACATTCGCAACCAGTTGATACGCGCCGCGGACTCACAGATCCTCGATCAAGTATGGCCGACCCACATGAAAGTTAGTCGCATAATCCCCTAAAAACAAATAGAATTCCCACAAGCATTAAGCAGCAAGCACCCAACTGGGTTGTCCACATTTGATCCGCATTTGATCTGTAAGTCGATCTAAGTCTGCGGATGGCTGATGCCCAACCGGGGTCATGCCGATACTCCCCCGCACCGATACTCCCCCGCACCGTTACTCCCCCGCACCGATACTCCCCCTTAGTAATTTTTTGCATTATGCACATCGATACGACCCCACACTGATAGAACCCCGCATCAATAAACCCCCTGTAAAATTGCCGTTATACGCGCACCGTTACTCCCCCGCACCGATACTCCCCGGCATTGTTGTTTCCCCGCACCGTTACTCCCCCGCACCGATACTCCCCCGCATCATTACTCCCCCTATGCAATTTTGCCGAAACTGAGGATCGAGTAACAGAGTCAACCCTCCATTTAATTATACAGGTTTGGGTCGGTCTACTAGTAGGTAAGTGGATCAAAATCTACGACCCGTTTAAGTCCAAATTTTGCGGAGAATCTCATGTACCACGCAAGTCCTTTATGCGAAATTTCGAGTTCGCACGTATGTAAGCACGTACGGAGGATATTGCACATTTCCAATAGATTCTACGAATAATCTGCGAACAGCGAGGCCGCAAGAGTAATTTGCTCCCTTTCTAAGGAGTTTGCGATTGGTTTGCAAGTGAGACTTGCCTGGTCCAAGATGCACGCCGCAAGAAATGGAGGAGAAAGAGCCCTTTGCGTGTTGAGTACGGCGCACGCCCTCACATCTAAAACGAACAAAATCGAAAACACGACGGGACTGCGAGTATAGAAGGCGTGCTCACGACGCATGCTCGTGTCTCGACAATTTCGTTGTGCAACAATTTTCAAATTTTTTGAATTTTGCTCAATTCAGATTCTAATCTAATTCAGATTCAAAAGACAAGGGAAAGAAGCTTAAAGAGCAGAAAAGAAGGTTGGAGGAAAAAGACAGAAAACGAAGCGCTTTAGCACTTCTTTTTTATTACTTAATTAATAATTTTACGAATTCATCGTTGCCTGAAAAAAAGACA